TTTTTTAATTAATATATTTTATATTAATTTAAGGTTATTTATTTTATATATTTTAATTATTATAAATTAATTAATATTATTATTATTATATTAAAACTTAAAGTAATTTTAATATTTAAATTAATATTAAGGTTATAAGGCTAATTATATATAAGGGCCCTTTAAACCCGTTTAATTAGCTTATTTTATTAGCTTAACTAGCTTTTAAAATTACTTTAATTTACTTTTTTAATAATTCTTCCTTTTTTCTTTCTTTTTTTTAAGCAAATTTAATTATAAATTAATAATTTTTATTATTATATTATACTTTTATTATTATTTAAATATAACGATTATTTTAATTAAAATTTATATTATTAAATTAACTTTATAATAATAATTATAAATTTTTATAATAATAAAATAATGTTATAAGCTAACTTTAAATTATTTATTATAAGGTACTTAAATAAGGTTTATATTTAAAATATAAAGAAAAAGATATACTTTTTATTTATACTTATATTAAAGCTTATTTTTATAAGGCTAAAGCTTGTTAATTAATTATAATAAGCAAAGCTTAAATTATAATATATTTTCCTTTTTTAAATTCTTATAATAAGCTTTAAAAAGTAATTATATAATAAAAATAAAGAATATTATAATTTAATTATAAATTAAATATTGTTCTTTATTTAATTATTTAATTATACTTTAATGCATTTTAAATAAATTAAAGGCTTAACTTATTTTTTATAATTAATATATTTTTAGCCCTTATAATTTAATATTATGGATCCGTAGATAGCGGGCAGGCAGCTGCTTACATAAGCAGCGTTGCAGCTCAAAACACCAGAGGCACTGCCCTCTGAGCGTAATTAGCAACCAAGCAACCTACACACCCATACCGTACAGTCTACAGCGTCCCTCGTGATCGTTGCAGTGCTGTTTAGTGGGTTAGGTGCATAAAAAAGCACAATATATTAATTAAAGCAAGTTAATAAAAAATAATTATTTAAATATAAGTTAATAATTAAATTAATAATATTTTTATAATTCTTTAATTTAAGCTTTTTATATAAACTTTTTTATTTAAAACTTTAAAACTATAAATTTATTATATAATTTATAATTAATTAATGCTTAATTATAAATAATTTACTTTATTAATAAGGAATTTTTAAATTTTAAGTATTTTATAATATTAAATTAATTAATATATAATTAACTTACTTTAAGCTTAAGCTAGCATTAAGCCGGTAATATTTTAAGCTTTACTTTATAAAAGAAATTTTTATTTTCTTAAATAAACTCCTTTTCTTTATTAATCTTAATTAATAAAAGCTATACCCTTATTTTCTTATAATAATAAAAGTAATTATGCTTATAATAATTAAGCTATTTATATATAAAATACTTAATTTTGCTTATTAAGATTGCTATAATATTAATATTTATTACTTTATTATTTTAAGGTTAAGTATTATCCTTCTTTATTATAATATTAAAAACGCCTTTATATTATTATAAAGTAAAGTAAAAGGCTTTAAATATATTTAATTATTTTTTATAATTAAGCTAAGCTTTTATTATAAAGGTTAAGCTATTAATTATTAATAATATTTTATATTTATTTAATTAATTTTAAGCTTTTATTATATAAGTTAATTAATTAAATTAAATAAGAAATTTTATTATTTTTTTTATAATGTTATTATAATATAATTAAGCTAAATGTAATATATTTTTGCTTAAAAAGGTTTTTAAGCATAAAGTAAACCGTTTTTAAAAACCTTTTTAATTAATTTTTAAATATCTTTATAAAATTAATATAAAGTAAAAATTAATTATAAAAAGTTCTTAATTAATTAAATATATAAAAGAATTAAGCTTTTTTAATATTAATTACCTCTTTATTTATTATAAACTTAGCCCTTATTTTTATTAATTAAATTATTAAATATTCTTAAAATAAAAATTTTTTAAAATAAGAAAAGGCTTAGCAAGCTATTATTATTTTTTTTAAGTTTTGCTATATTAAGTTTTATATAATTATATTATAAGTTTATAATATAAAAAGACTTTAAATATATATTATAAGCTAGCTTTAAATTATTTATTATAAAATGCTTAAATAAGGTTTATATTTAAAGTATAAAGAAAGAAATTTACTTTTCGTTTATACTTATGTTAAAGCTTATTTTTATAAGATTAAAACCCATTAATTAATTATAATAAGCAAAACTTAAACTATAATAAGTAAGGCAAATTAATAAATATAAATAATATAAGCGTTAATTTTAATTAAAGTTATTATTATAAAAATAATAAACTTAAAAAATATATAATTATAATAATTTAAAGAAATATATTATTAAAAAGATTTAATAAAATATTAATAATAATTAAGTATAATTAAAAATAACTTAAGCTTATAAGGAATGCAATTAAGTTTAATATTGTAAATTTATAAAATGTTTTTTATATAAGGATTAATTAATTAATATATTACTTTATATTTATAAGGCAAGAAAATTATGCGTTATTTAGCCTTTTAACGCCTTATTTATTTTTTACGCTTTATTTATTTATTTGCAGCCCTTTGGCATCCCGCTTATTTGCTTTTTATTTTTTAGCGCCTTATTTGCTTATTTGCTCTTTATTTTTTGGCGCCCCATTTACTTATTTGCAGCCCTTTACCCTTCGGCGCCCCGTTTATTTACTCTTTGCTTTTTAATGCCTTAATTATTTATTTACCTTTTACCCTTTAATGCTTTATTTATTTATTTATAGCCCTTTATTTTTTAACATTTTAACCTTTTTTATTTATTTTTAAATAGCCTTTTACATAGCAGCGGATTATTTCTCAGTTATGCTTATTCCTTAATATAATTCCTTAAAAGCTTTTTTAATTAATAATATGATTATCACCCCCCTTAACTAGCTTTTTAAAAGTTAAATAAAATTAATATAATCCTTATAACATGTAAAGGGCCGTATAATATTAATTTTAAAGAACCGCACCTAGCTTATAATTATATTGTTAAATAATAATCAAAAAAGTAAAAAATTATATTTAAGGGTAAATATAATAATTAATTTATTTATTTTTAAATATAAATAATTATATATAAATATATTTATAAAGTAATTTATAATTAAGTATATAAAGGGGATGATAATGTATATATAAATTTAATATATATTAATTTGGTGGTATTACTAGCGTGGTTTTGGCGGTATGGATTGCAAATGAGTGTACACTCAAAGGTGGTCTTCGCTACTTTCGCTCGATCCTCCTGACTCCTTGATCCGAAGCAGTTCGCGAGATTTGGGCTACCTGAGACACTGTACCAGATCCTTCATTTTGTTTCTACTTGTAGGAGGACATGGCATTCTGCCACAGACATGGTAGGCACAGTACCGTTTGCCCACAGTGTGCAACTTAAGCTTTGTTTCGTTGTTTGCAACCCACATATCCTTGATCCTAGCTGGGCGGGAGCCGGCAAGCTTCCGTTATCTGCCCGTATGAGATTGACCACTCCATCCCTGGTAGGACACGCAGGGCGGAGTGGCGGGCGTTAGTATATGCCACACGGCGACAAGGAACTTCCTGACAGGCGCCTGTTGCGGGTTCTCATCGGTACCATATTTCCGCTTCGGACTTTTGGCAAAGTGGAGACTGATCGTACGGCACCGCACCGCCCTACGAGCTCAACACCAAGCTTGAGCAGGGGAAGTCCCTGAGAAGCAGGTGTGGGACTTGGCCCTTGCAGGAATTGCGATCGGAAGTGGCTGAAGTGCCAAGGGCTTGTTACTTGGTAAGTAAGAGAAGACCGTGGGATCCGTGGGATATTGCCGGAATCACGAGCTTCATTGTGTATATGACTGACTGACCGCGAACTGTCCCTAGCTCTCACATGGCGTGAGATTGGACCTGCATTAGTGCTTTGCTTGTTACTGTGGCCCAACAGCTTGGCTTAATATCACGATGCGCACGTGGTCAGCATCGGGAGGAGCGATCTCTCAACACTCAACGTGCGAGCTGCATGGGGAGAGTAGGGTTGTTCCGGCGGAGGCGCTTAGTGATCGTCCCGAAGCAGCCGCACCAAGATGGCGTCCACCGGCAACACCACGCGGGAGAGTGATTGGCCCCAGCCTCATGATCTTGGGGAAAGTTTATTCATGGATCTGGAGCGCCAATGTTACTGACACAGGCGAGAGCCTTACTCGAGCACGCTGAGAGGGGCGACGTACATGGACTTGTGGACCTAAAACCGGAGTCCTTCCCCCGTTCCACAGACAAAGGTGGACCTGAAAGGGCTGCGTCTCCAGGAACGACGAGGCTTACTCATGTTCCTTGCGGTGGGTGACCTCCGCCTAGGGGTCCACGGCTGGGCAGGGGACACTATTGGGATGGAGCGACATGGCGACAGCAGAGTAATAAGATAGCGAAACAGACTAGAGCGAGACCGAATTACTATAAATCCAACCCGCAGGAGATGTTCTATCACTAGATTCCACCAGTTTCAGCCCTACCCAACCGCTGTAGTTCTTTGACGACTTGGATGATGGAAGCCGCACGTCCTCGCGAATCACTATCTCCCGTCTCCCTCCCCGTCTCACGGGTCGACAAACGGGCCAGGGCACCAACAGCCTGCAATGTATGTCGGCGACGGAAAGTCAAGTGCAACGTCACCTCGGTCGGCGTGCCATGTCAGAACTGCGTGCGAGACGGGCAAGAGTGCCAGGTCAGTGGACGCAAGGTTCGCGCGTAAGTTCTGGAATCCCTCATCCGCCATCAGTCAAGCTCTTGCACACTGGACTCGTGAAAGCTGAATCAGGGATGTAGTCAGCCGCAGTCATGCACCAGGTCGACTTGTTCACCTGACGCCGCCTTCCAGCCCGTCCTACCTCCTCAGCCTCCGCACACAAGCCCAACATCTTTTCAGTCCGCGCCTATTGCCACGCACTTCGTCCCATCGGGAAGCACACGAGATGAAGGTGTCTACGAGAATGCGATGGAGACGTGCAGCAGTATCAACACTCTGAGTCTGGACACCATAATGCCGGGACCAGAAGACTATGCCATCGAGTCCTTGGCCACGTCTCTGATGGGAGGGACGGCCGAAGCTACAACCGAAACTTTCTACACAGGTAAGCAGATGATGTGCACAAGAGGAATTTCAGACTCGATGAAACTCTAGAATGGACTACCACATCAACTCCCCCAAGGTATATGGCCTCTCGTACCAAGTGGAAAGAGAAAGACCTCCAGGTGATGTATGAAACTCTCTCAAAATAGAAGCTCTAGTACTTGGGAAATGACTGTTTCAAACAACACGGAACCACTGACCTGTAGGAGATCAACTACTAGTCTCCACTGGCTTCTGCGTGGATTGTTACAGCTTTCTTCCCTCCCATTCAGTGAGCTTTCCGCTAACAGCTTCGGTGCAAAGGCGACCAACAAGGAATCGGTTACATCCTCGATATCGTGGGCGAGCCAAGCGTGATATCACAACATTATGGCCTGCCATACATGGCCGCCACCCACCAAATGATGCCCCAAGATGTGGCATATGTTCGTTCCAAGGGCGTCTTCTCAGTGCCGAGTGAGCCGGTTTGTGAGGCGCTGTTGAAAGCATACTTCAACCACATCCATCCAATACTACCAGTAGTCGATGCCGTGGCTGTTCTTACAACATTCCGCAATGGCGGCGCCTCCGCCATCAACTTGCTGCTCCTGTGGAGTATGTTTTCTGTAGCAGCTAGTGTGAGTCGAACTCCGCCCCATGACGACGCGTTCCGTATTAATCAGGTGCTACAGCACGTCGATAAGGAGGTGGTATACCAAGCGGGGTATCAGTCCCACAAGGAGATGAGGAAATCAATGTTCACCCGTGCCAAGGCAAGTGTCCCCTCTTTACCCATTCTCAATTGCGAATTAACTAACAATCGTCCCCATTCTTAGTGCTTCTATGACAATGGATGCGAGAAAGACCGCATTATCATCATCCAATCCGTTAGCCTTCTGGCTTTCTGGTACTCGGACTTGGCGGAGCGGACAGACTCGTGGCACTGGATGGGTATCGCTATCAGCTTATGTCAAACGCTGGGTCTGAACCGCGACCCTGACCGTGGCCACTACAACAAGAGCCTATCAGACCGGCAACGCCAGTTATGGCGGCGTATCTGGTGGAGTAAGCCTCGTCTTGTATACCCTTCGTGACCCACGGGAATGACATCTGACACCCACACTCTAGGCTGCTTCTACCGTGACCGCTGGCTCAGCTTCGCTATGGGTCGCCCCATGCGCATTCACGCCTGGGATTGTGACACCCCCATGCCTTCAGCTGAAGATTTGACCGACGACGTTAACGAGTTGCCGCCACGGATCCAGACGAGGTACATGCCTTCGGACTTCAATCAGCTGGCCAACCAGTGGATAGTCCTCCTGCACCTCAGCAAGGCGCTGGGTAGCATCTTGTACGAGAACTACAGTCCCACTAGACAGCTGCCCTCACGGACCTGGATCGAAGCAACTGAAGAGGAACTGGGTCGCTGCATCGCACAAGCTGGCGAACAGCCTGCGAGTAGCAGTCCTGCCTTGTCCTTCTACTTCCATCACCTGCAGCTTCATTACAAGTATGATGTTCTTCCCCTGCCCACTTCTCATGAGCATGTCCACTGAAACTTTCTTAACAGTGCTGCAACTATTGCCTTGTGGAGGCCACATTGCAACAAGATCACCGCAGACATTCCGGCAGACCAGAAGTCTGCTTGGTCTAGGCATGTGAGCCAGAAAATCCAGACGGCCGCAACGAACACGAACAACGTTCTGGAAAGGATCATCAGCGAGCAACTGGTCAGCTACATAGGACCCATGACGTAGGTGCAAAGCTTTCTTTTCCTTTCTGTGCTCCCAGCAATCATAAACAATATTGACCTCTTCTAGAGTTCCTGTGCTTGTGCCAGCTATGACTGGGCATCTTGGCGAGGCCAAGTCGTCGGACCCTCTCCAGAAGCAACTGAGCCTCAATAGGCTCAACATATTCATGATGGTCTTGAGGAGGATCCAGGATGTCTATTCCTCGGCGACTTTCATCCACGGCCTATTCTCACAGGCCATCGAGAAAATGACCGCGCCGGAGCACTACTATCCGGGGCAGACCCCATCAACTGGTTCCATGGTAAAATCAAATGGTCATCTGGGAATATCGATAGATCCTCATTGGGACTTCAACTTCGAGGTTTGGGACACAGCCCCCCACTACAGTGACGTTGGTATAGTAAGTTGATGTCACCGTATTGGTTCGGGTGGAGGTCAGAAATTAACGTTATGAAGGATACAGATGGCAGCTCCTCATGAAAGATACAGATAACGTCTCGTGTATTGTTTAGCAAGATCTCTCATGTATTATCTAGCAAGGCGTTGTCTGTGCTGTTTAGCGATGTAGTATTAAAGGATAATAATTGCTTATTGGTTTCAAAGAAAGAAGTCTGAAACAATTCCCTCGTTGCTATTCGTAAAGATACTTGACTTCTCCATTACAGTATATCAGGTCTTACATCACAGTACTACATCAATAACCTGGACCCATTTCACTGCGAACGCCGAGTTCACTAGCATTTGAAACGGGGGGATCGTCAAGGCCTAGCTGTCCATGCATATGGCTATATTCTGTAAACACGGAATCAGGAGCGGCATGGCACCATGGCACTCGGTCAGGAGTATGTGGACTGGGAGACGCACCCGAAGCCGCTAGATTGCAGTGGTCTTTTCTCGCGGTGGGAGGGTCACCGGCATCGGATATCGGCATGGACTTTATCCCGTCTAGGAAACCCTGGGCTGCGTCGCAGATCCATCGTATGTAGGCTAGTCAAACCCGGGAGGTGTCTATACATGAAGGAAGAACGAGTCCTACAAATTCGAGGAGATGATTGATATGTGGGCCGCTACTGAAAAAGGACAGATTGAAAAGCCTGCTGAAAATCGATTTTGGATTTGACCCTCAAACTCACCACTGGTAGGAGGATGGCGAATCAGAACCCATGGGGACGTCTTGACGAAAGACACATTGGCAATTTGTAGTGTAATGCCGTCACATGCCTGTAGAATTGGCCGGGTCGATGTCCATGCTCAGCCCGCTCAAAACCTCGAGCTCCGGCCGGCCGGTGTACAAGAAGTAGACGGTGAGGAACAGCACGCTCGAGACCTGCATTATATGGGCGGACACCAGTGGGCCGAGATGCTTTTCACTCACTGCCTCGACGTTCTCTTCCCGAACCGGTGTCGCGGTTGCTACTGAAAGTATTCGCGACATTGCGTCCTCGATCAAGTGATCCCGTTGCCAAAGATTTGCGTTTCCTGGTTTGCGGGAAAGCGTCCCACTGGTGAACCAGTACCTAGCATCGGATTAGCCTCTCTTTGAAATTTTGACCAGCTCACGATGAAGTGTCTCAGCGTTAGCATGATAGCCTTGTCTCCACTCTTTCTTGATATCGCTAGGGAGTTGAATAACCAGAAGCTTATCTTTGACAACCCTCAGCAGATCCTTGATGGCTTGAGATCCACTAGCATCCCATATAATCCGTCTCATATGGCTTGTAACTTCTTCATGGACAATTGGCTTGCTCCAGCCTCCATCTGTCCATTTCTGGCTCCAGAATGCACTTTCACTTTGGCGGCTATCGCTTGTCCTCGCAGCGAGCTCTTTGACCCCTTGAATATCATAAAGCAGCCATGTAATGAGCTGTAAGATGATACAACCCATAGACCATATATCGTATAGTCGTGATGTCGGTTGATCATCGTGGAGGAACTCGGGCGGCTCGTATGAAACCGTGCCATGGCGGGTGGAGGTCGGGCCTTGCCTCTTTTGCATTGAATCATCTTGAAACTCTGCCAAACCAAAGTCTCCGATCTTCCAAGTGTCTGGCTGATTTTGACTCTTGAAAATCAAAATGTTTCCAGGCTTCAAGTTGCCGTGCCTGTAGTTATCTCGGTGGAGCACCGCAAGGGCTCCAGCCAATCCCGATATCTGCACGACAATATTTGCAACAAATTTGCCTTCTTCTTGGCGTCGAACCACGTGGCGACGCTCCCATGAATTCTCAAGGTTTCCGCCTTCTGCCCAAGGGAACATGTAATACCGCTTCCATCCTTGGTCGAAAATCGCCTTGACATCAATGATGTTCTTCATGCGTTCCGGGTCTTGCTCTTTGAGAGACAATACGTGCAGCAGAGCTCCTTTTTCACGTGCAGCCAAGTCATCTTGCCCAGGTTGTAGGCTCTCGTAACTGTTGCGTCTGAGGATGACTTCCTTGATGGCGACCAGGCACTTTGTCTGAGGAGCGTCAGTACACTTTTCCTCTTAATAGGATCAATGTGCATTTGAAATCGAAAAGTAATCGAAAAGAAGATGACCGAAGAACGTGGACATTGATTTCTTACTTGGATCGGATCGTCACGGTAGAAGTGCGATGGATGAACCGTGACTTTGTAGACAGTACTGAAAGTTCCCTGGCCCAACGGTGAAGCTTGGATGAACGGGAGTATGGTTTCAGTTGGGAGAGTACCTGCCACCAGGCAGCGACCGCTGTAGAACTTTTGCGCAACGAACTTCCACTGATATTGGAGGAAGCCGACCATCTGTGGTCTGTCCCATGGAAGGCGATCAGCATGTTGGGATATGACATCCTCATTCAATGGGAGACTCCTGTCGCTGAAACCATGATTCCGGAAGAAACCCATCGTCTGTTCCAGATACAAATACCGGATTTCACTGAGGAAGCAAGCAGCGAAGAGTTTCGTAGCATCTCTCAGAATGAACCGAATTAGTCCATTGTCGACAGCATTCCCTGAGCGGTCGCCCGAGTACCCATACAGCTCTGTGTTGATGTCATTCCCCGTGATTATGCGCAGTGAGCCCTCGGGCCAGAAGTCAATCTTGTAGGGATATTCTGATGAAGATTTAGCCCCATCAATCTTGTCCCACAGCAAGCTCGGGCGCCTCAATGATAGTGCTCGTGGTGAGAATGGTAAGGGCCGTGGGGGTGGTAAGGCTGGCACTTCAACTGACTCAGCTGAACCCAGAATACTAAGCCTGGATGTATCTCGGGTAGTTAGAAGAAGGGTGCCGCAGAGGCCACTGGGGATCCAGTCTTTGAGGATCATGTGCTGCAAAGTGTGCGCATGGATACCGTCCAGGACCATTAGCCATGGGCCACGGATCTCCAAATTCAGGTGATATACCAAAGCACGGGTGGAGTTACGGAGGGGACTTTGTGGCTCTCCAATGGATTCCCAGATATGCTGATACGACTCTTGAATGCTTGTTGCGCTCGTCGCGTCTACCCAAAAAATGGAATATTCCGGACGTTCGCCTGCGATCCGGTGCGCGAGTTCTACAGCGATAGCGGTCTTTCCAGTGCCCTGACCGCCTGTGAGAACAATGCGTGGCTGTATATTCTCACGGCTAGACTCTCGTCGCGACCTGAGCCCTGGATGACCATCTTCTGCTGGCTTATCGTCTCCTTCTGGCTGAGCATCTGCAAGACCGAAGAACTGAAGTCTGGGCCGGCTTATAAATAGCTTGAGGTCAAGTTCAACAAGGAATTTGTCGAGGAATGCATCGAGGGATTCATCTCGAGCAATAAAGAAGGCGTTCCATGGAGGCAGGTTGATACGCCAGGTCGGCTGACCTACATGATATATCAGCTGAAGTCGAGATATGAGACTGCACCTCGACGCTTTTTTGTGGGGATATCGTACTTTGAGTGGTATTCGAAGAGTATAACCAATTGGAGTTTCGCTCAAGTCGCCAGGTCAGAAGGTCGTCAAGAGTTTGCCTAACGAGGTCTTCCAATACCGCAGGAGTGATATCTATGTTTGTATTGTCCATGCCTTCATCGTAGGTTTTGATGACATTTTGCAACCTACCAAGATGTGTTGCCCAGAACTCCTGACAGGCTTCATTCGAAGCCCAACCTGCTTCGTCAACCCAGTCGAGAAAGCTCTGCAGGTTTTGTTCGATAGACGAAGATAGCATATGAATCAAAGCATTATGAACACTGCTTGGATTTGGACCGGGCAACGCGAGGGAACGTTCAGGTTCGGATCTCACCACCTCGGCCCCAGCGATATGAGAGAGCATGACTGTCCCACCTGATGCTATGATTCCATCCGTCTCTCCATTTTCGGGGGGCTCGGGCAGCGCCCGGAGAGAGAACTCGTGAAGATGCTGCAAGATGTGATCGTCAACTTTGGAAGACATGTTGGGCGTCGAGAAGTCGCACAAAGGGCACGACAGTGGCCCGATCATTGGCCGCTTGTTCAGTTCAGCCAAGTCTGTCAGCTGTAGTCCTTGAAAGGTCTGTATCCGATCACCATGCACCTCTGTAATGTGCTGCTTCCACTCCTCAGCACCGCAGAACTCGCGGCGCTCACCATGATGTCCATTAATCCCATCGCCCAGAGCACAAAAGTCGCAGATCCAGCGCAGAGATGAGTGCTTATCGACAAGATGAGCGAGCAGAGTCTCAGAAGTCAAATACATCTCATCAGGAGTGCTATAATCCTCAATAAAGCATGTGTATGGCAGCACATCCTGGCTTACGTGTGCCCTGCTCATGTGTCAGTTTGGTATCGCTATACCAGATCCCCACTCGATCACGGGAGGACTTACTTCCAGGCTTTCTCTGATTTCGAATACGAGGATGGAAGCACGTCGAGGCAATAGGGGCATATCAGCTGGCGGTCACGGTCCGGAATTGGGCATCGAGGGTAAGCCTGAGTGGCACCTACTCTTGTTAGGTTGGATGCAGCCGAAGAAGCACGGCCGGACAGCATGGGTCCAACATTAAGGCGTGAATCAATGTCTGTAGCAGTGGGAGCAACAGTGTGCGCAGCTGTGGGAACAGCTGTAGCGGCCTTGGGCGATATAGTCAGGGTTGTAAATTAGTTTGTTAGTTTTAGTTAATTTAGTTAATTTTCTTAATTAGTTAATTTAGTCTTAGTTAATAAGATTAACTAAAAACTAAAATTAGTTTTAGTTTTTAAAATTAACTAAAACTAAAAAACTAAAACTAATTTTAGTTTAACTAAATTAACTAAAAAAATAATTTAAAAAATAAAAAACAGGAACTTAATTTTAATTAAATTAAATTAATTAAAGAATAGCTTGAAAAACAAATATTTAGTTAATTTAAATAATAAGTTTTAAATATATATATTTTTTTTAAAAAAAGAAAACTAATAACCTAAATCCCCGTTATAGCTTAACGATATATAACGTTAGTTTATTTCTAAAAATTAAGACGTAATATATTTAAAATAAATTATTATTAAAGAGTATAATATTTATTACTAGCTTATTATATCTTATATAATAATGAAATAAACTTCTTTTTTTAAGGTTTTTAAATTATTGTTTATATATTCTTTTACTTTTAAAGTATATAATATTTATTTTGAATTATATTAAATTTTACTTTTCTTATGATATAATTTTTATTTATATAATTAATTCTTTAAAATACTTATAGCGTTTTAAAAAGAAAGGTTTTAATTTATTTATGTTAAATCTGCTAAATGGCAATTACTTATTTAAAACATAACTGCCCCCCCCCAATGCCCCCCTATCCTTAGCGTTATTACCTATATATAACCTTTGATATCTTTTTATATAATAGGGTTAAAATTATAATACAAATATGTTTAAATAGCCTTTATTTTTAAGTTAAGGAATATAATATTATTAAAAATTGTTTACTCTTTAGAAAAATAAATATAAAAAGATATCTTAGTTTTACTTTATATATAGAGATTAAATAGTGCTTTATATATTTTTATAATAATAATAGATTTTTTCTTAATATTATAATATTACTTTTATATATTATAAAAAATCTTTAAAATTGTTATATATAATCTTATTATTCTTATTTATTAAAATATATTTACCCTTATAAATACTTTAATTTAAAAGCAGCTATAGGGCTTATTTAGGCCTATTTGCCCTTATAAATACTCTAATTTAAAAACTAGCTATAGGGCTTAATTAGGCCTATTTGCCCTTATAAATACTTTAATTTAAAAGCAGCTATAGGGCTTAATTAGGCCTATTTGCTCCTATAAATACTCTAATTTAAAAACTAGCTACAGGGCTTAATTAGGCCTATTTGCCCTTATAAATACTTTAATTTAGAAACTAGCTATAAGGCTTAATTAGGCTTATTTGCCCTTATAAATACTTTAATTTAAAAACTAGCTACAGGGCTTAATTAAGCCGATTTGCCCTTATAAATACTCTAATTTAAAAACTAATTATAAAGCTGTTTTAAACTTATTTACCCTTATATATACTTTATTTTAAAATTCTTTTTAAAGCTTAAATATAATGAATATCCCTGGAATTGAATTCACGAGGTTTAAAATAAGTGGGTTTAATTAATAAGCTTACATAACTTATATATTATTAATAATAATAAAACTTTATAACCTTGCATTCTTATATATAATAATATATAATAATTATTTAAAGTTTTATTAAATTTAATAAAATTTAAAGATTATTAAGATATAAAATACTTTTAATAA